ATCTATTTTAACAAAAGTCTGTGCTGCTAGATAGCCGTCACAGTTGGTGGTTCAAGCTTTAGAGAAAGACTATGAGACTTAACTCAAAAACCAATGGAACCTTTCTTAGTTAACTCTAGGCCAGCCACGTTTTCTCTTTCCAATCTATGGCACGTGATTATACTATATCCCTCTTACACCTCTGGAGACACTGCAAAATGTCAACGAGCAAGCAAATAAGTAGCAACAAGCTTGCATCATGAATGATTCGGCTTTCCATGATTTTCTAAAGGGTCAGATGAATGACGTAGCAAAACTAAGATTATATTCCAGGAACAACACGAGTAGGAAACCTGTAAACCTCACGTTACATTAAGAAAAAAACCGTAATGAGATTTTATTCATTATTACAGATTTCAGCTAATCTACAGGCGGCATCAACTTTCCCCTGCCAAATGTCGTCCTGTTATATTGGACTACACAACTAGGCAGACAATGGAGGAAGTTCTCACAAATATTCTGATCTCCATTAGTGGCAAATTGGTAATGGTAAAGAAGATACTAATGAAGTTGTAGACCAATCAGGAGTAGTCTATGAACTATTATTATGATTCTTTGGTCGCGCTGTTACCCAGAATCTGGGCATTAACCAAAGTCAAATCAAAGTCCAGATCTCACTGTTGCCATGTCAAGCTCAAGACTTTCGAGGGCAAGATGAGCATAGAAGTGCTTAGGAGTAGCAAGACTAGGTAAACTAAGAGGACACTCTAAATTATATGTAATTCATGTTTATGATACTTACATCATTCCATGATTTCAGGAGGGCATGAAAGGCTGCTTAGCTGCTCCATCCTACCCTTAGCAGACACATACCAACATAAACATGTTAGATTTATAGCAGCTAACACTACCCTTGATTATATATGTGCCTCTCATTTTTAATTCTGCATGCAGTTGCAGGATCCACAACATAGGCACTCCTGGAACCTACCTTGGATTTTTCTTCAGTGTAGTTACTAAAAATTCATGCAAATCTATCCCAGTGGAGTCTGTGTATTCCTGGCTGGAATCTATAACAGACAATAGAAGCAAACTCAAGAAATGACCTACTTATAGAACAGGNTTTATCTGTCGCGCTGCTGATGACGTCACGTACGCGCTTTGATCGGGCGCGCTTTAGTGGACCGCGGTTTTGACGGTCACGAGTATTTGGACCTTAGATACCTATCTGCCTCTTGCTATTAAAGAAGATTCTATATCAATGATTTTAAAAAATGTCAAACTAAACCCCCCTTCCAAAGACAGTGCTGTATTTGCTGAAAATAGGCGGCCTTAAGGAATGGTTGCTATGCAAAAAGAAAATTATAATTAAGTAGACTTCTGTTGCAGGAACATTCAACCAAACCCACTATCTAGTCTTCTTTAAAAACACACGAAGGATTCGCCTGACACAGTCTGGTTAAAATGTTTGAAGGACGGAGAGAAAGAGGACCAAGCTTTACTCATTGGCTTAAGAAAACCATAGATTTGCATGTAGATATGCCATAAGCATCTGTACAAGAATCCACATGATTCTTCTTTTGTAAGTTTCTCAGGGGTTGCTCCTAAGGAAGGAAGCTTTTTTCATATATTTGCATACCCAACATCAAGAATCTGAATAATCAACAGTTTCTGCACCGAGGAGGGGTGACTAGACAATAACATAAATACTGTAGTTCTTTCCAGTTCTGTGACTGAAAGAAACATGATCTCCTTGATTATCAACCCAGGAAGCTTACAAACGAAATGTGTTTTATTCTACACCTTACTGACTGATGGAACTGTACTCCAAAATATTGGATGTTTATTGGTTGAGAAGTACCTGAGGGGCCAGGAGAAAGAATTGGTGGCAGGGAAGAGGTTACGTAGCACAACTACCCAATAAGGAAAATGCTGGCAATGAAGAGGCATGAAGAAAAGGGGACATAATCAGAAACAGGACTAGAATTACAACCTCCTGGAACCCTGTTGGGTCTGAAATGCCAACCCAGACACAGAAATTCCCTTTTTGCTCTAATTATGCACTCAAACTCCTACGTTGGGGAGTAGGTAGCACCATCCAAATTGTATTCTGTATCACTCAGGTCTGTGTCTTATTATGTTACTACTCCAAAATAAGTCCAGCATGAAGGGAAATCCAAGCTGTGTGACCAAAATACAGCATATCCAATACATTTAATTATACATCTCTTTGATAATACTTTACAAAATAGTACTTTTGTGAGGGCAGAAATAACTACTTGCTTAAAGCCACCCCGTGCATTTGCATTCGAGACTTCCTATCCCACAGCTCCTGCCTTCAGTCACATTCCCACACAAGTTCTTGGTGTTCTTAAGAACTTTTCATTGCATAACATATTCATGTACCAGCTGCCATGCAGCACTCCTCCACCAGTCTCTCTTCACATGGGAATAATGTGACAAGGAATAATGGAAGCAGGAAAGGGATGAAACTTAGTTATTTGTGAGTTAATGATGGCCGAATAATTCCAAGTAACCAATGGAGATACAACTAAAGGACCAACATAAAAAGGAGCAGCATTCATTGTGCATTTTATTAGTTTTTGTACAAATGAGATAAAAGAAATAAAAAATCTGAGAATATGAATCACTAAATCGCCCAGCAACACAGTCTATTCTTGGTGCTTTAGTTGTGAACCACATTGATTATTGCGTGCCTGCCTTGATGCTTTCTTCTGCCACTTAAAAAGCTATGCACATGGCTTAAAAATGGGTGTCATATAGCTAGATGCCAAAGACAAAACAAAAATGCCAACATTCTTTGATGCAAAAGATCAACTTTTCATGCATCTGCACAACCAGATGGGTGACAGGATTTTTCTCCAACACCATGCTATGAAGGCAGGGGAGCATGTTCGTAAACAAGTACGCCAAAAGGAAAACACGGCAAAAGAAATAAACAAAGGGATATCAGTGCCTGCCCTTGAAGTAAACAGGGTGAGTAGATGGATGGTTAAATATGAGTCATCCCAAGTGCTGTAGGAAGCAACAGAGGAGAGAGGAGACACAATGTTACTTTGTGCCACCCTCTCTATTGACACATCCCTATTTCTAAAGGTAAGAGGATGCTTTAGTGCATCTGTAAATGCCTCATCCATCCCACATATTAATACTGCATCATCCACCCCACTACATAATACTGCAGAGTGATGGAAGAGAATCTTGGAAGTACAGGTCCTTCCACCTGGAGGGGAAAGAAATAACAGTATTCTGACTTACCCATACAAATAGCAAGTACCAACAATGATGCTGATGACGGTTAAATAGGATTGAAGGAACTTTTCCATGTACCACTTCTCCTTCAGAACTGCATTTAATGTTAACCAACATTTCCCAACCTGCTATTTTGTTCATGTTTCAGATTACAGGCGGATCAGCTCAATTGCTGACATGCTAGGTAGGTGAAATCACATTTCCTAGTGTTTCCTACCTTATGTAAGAGATGTAAAATACATCCTTCCCAATGATTTTTCAAGAGCCACCATCATTTTGGGTTGCATATATGAAAGCCTATCCATTTTTCTTATGATATGTTTCTAGCTGGGAGTGTCTATGGAGATTCTCAGTCATCCAGGACATGGTTGTGCCAAAGGTGGTTTTTCAAGAGGCAACTGGACTTTCTGGTTTTTCTTTGAAGATGTTTCGAAGAAAAACCAAAATGTCC